GGGCCTTGGGACCCTCGTGGTTACAAATGCTGCTTCCTTTGCATGTGATTCTGCCCGGCCCGTGGGCACGCGGGGACCCGGCGGAGCACAGGCCCGTCTGACACACTCTGCTGTGCTCGTCTGAAGTTCTCGTGCTCGACCCCCAAGGCCAGAGCCCAGATTCCCGCAGCACCCACCCTCCCAGCGACCGCGGCTTTGGCCCACACACGCCCGGCCCCGCGGCCGCTGGCTGGGACTCACGGTGACGTCCTGGAAGTGGAGCCGCGTGGCGGGGCCGGAGGCCTGCGGGCGGCTGGTGATCTCCAGGATGGTCCGCAGCAGGATGTCCAGCAGGCTGGCCACGATCACGTCGATCTCCTCCAGCACGGACTTCTCCTGCAGAGAGAAAGGCCCACGTGCTCAGGGCGTTCTGCTCACGGCGCTCCGCTCTCTCAGGGAAAGGGGGAAAGAGCGTTTCCCAGTAGAGAAGGAGGCGTCGGAGAGCTCGGAGCTGTGCGGCCCTGGACGTCCCCTGGGTCAGCCCCGGGAGCGACCTTCTTACAGAAAACCAGGGCGGAGGCAGCGAGGAGCTGACCCCCAGCACACACGCCGACTGTGCAGCAGGTGCCCGGGACCCACATACAAAGCGGGGTGAGGCCCTGGGACAGATTCAGAGCCCAGCCGGGCCGCTGACAGCATGTGGCCTTGAGCGTTAACCTATGAACCAGGAGGTCATGGCTCGATTCCCAGTCAGGGCACATGCCCGGATTGCAGGCTCCATCCTCAGTGGGGTGTGCAAGAGGCAGTCAATCAATGATTCTCACTCATCACTGATGTTTCTATCTCTCTCTCCCTCTCCCTTCCTCCCTGAAATCAATAAAAATATGTTGAAAAAAATAAAAAGACACGTGGGAGGCGTGGAGTCTCCTCTTCCTATGGGGACACGGTTCTTTCCTGAAATACAAGCTTTGGAAGCCCAGGTTATTGGGGGTTACAGCCACCCCGCAAGATGAAAAAAAATTCCTCCAGAGGAAAAGCACAAAGTCCAACCCAGCTGCAGATGGAAGGGAGGGCGTCAGGGGTGACTCCACGGGGGTCTTTGAAGACAGTTAAGGCTTTAGGTCCGGGAGCGGCGGGCCGGGCCAAGAGGACGGGTGTCTACTCACCGAGCTGTTCTTCTTGCTGAGGCAGAACACGTTGCTGAGGATGCGTGCGCACGCGACCAGGTCCTTCTGCTGCCGCAGGTGCATGTGCAGATGGTGCAGGACCACGGGGAGCAGGATGCACCTGGAATCTGCAGGAGGAGCCGTCAGCGTCCCTGCACAGCCCCTTCCTCCCACTTCATCATCAGCAGGAACGGGATGATGATACCTTGTTAGCACAGGTAGCTAAGAAGGTACCAGTCCCACACGGTCCATGTTCAAAGCCAGTAGCTCCTTTTCCCAACCCACGATTCCTGCACGCAAAAGGGTTTTCACTCTTTTACTGAAATAGGGTTTTTAGCCTGAGCTGGTCTGGCTCAGTGGACAGAGCATCAGCCTGTGAACTGAAAGGTCCCGGGTTCGATTCCAGTCAAGGGCACATGCCCAGGTTGGGAGCTCGATCCCCAATAGGGGGTGTGCAGGAGGCAGCCGATCCATGATTCTCATCGTTGATGTTTCTCTCTCTCTCCTTCTCTCTTCCTCTCTGAAATCCCCCACACCTGTCAGTGACGTGTCAGGCCGGGCCCGGCCATGGCTGCTGGGTCTCTGTCTAATGGTGAGGCCTGTCTGTGGTGGGGAGCCCCATCTCCCATTGAGCAGCATCTGATTCTCTGCTCCAGGCCCATCTCATTCACTTCATCCAGGGGGTAACTCCTTGGACACAACTCAGAGGAATCACTCTTGGTTTATAACACCCATGCGTCCTACATTTGCAT